TTTCAAGAGCGCGACAGCGGATGGACCCTATCGCGCATACTCGATCTAACGGTGAACGTGAACGTGTACAATTCCATGCGGGCGAGGTGCCACGTGCGAGTACCGCGAGAGATTCAGACGAAGAGAGCGGTAGTCAACGTGCGATCCGACGACGAGGCGTGTTTCGCGTGGTCGGTGGTCGCCGCTCTGTATCCCGTCGATAAGCACTGCGAGAGAAGGTCGCGATATCCGCATTACTCCGAGGTGTTGAATCTGAAGGGTTCGAAGTTACCTATGACTCTGAACGGAATCGGACGGTTCGAGCGGCTGAACGATATATCGGTGAACGTGTACACCGTCGGAGAGAGACGAAAAGGACGGTGGCGGCGGAATTCGCATCGTCCCTCTTCGTCTGACGGATCGAAAGAGGGAGAGACACGTCAATCTGATGTATCTGAGCGATGCGACGCGCGAGGGTAACGCGGTCGGACATTTCGCCTGTATTCGAAATCTGTCTCGTCTGATCAGTTCGCAGTTGAGCACACAGGACGCACGTGTGTGATCGGTGAGCGTTCGATCTCGACGAGCGAGAGTGAAATATCGAGCTAACGTTTATTCCGTATTTTCTCAGATGCATGCATTACTTTCGCACGAGCGAGAAGCTGTCGGCGCACAGCGAGGATTGCGGCAAGCTGAACGATTGCGCGATCGTTCTTCCCAGCGAGGACGACAGGTGGCTGGAGTTCGATCATTATTCGAGAAAGGAGCGAATTCCATTCGCGGTGTACGCCGATCTGGAGTGCGCGTTGGAGAGGAAGGAGGGGGACGAGGGCGGGAGAATACGAGGATCGTTCAGCATCACAGAGTTCACAGCGTGGCCTATTACACGCGTTGCTCCTTCGACGACGCCGCGTCGGCGTACGGATCTTATCGCGACGAGGATTGCGTCGCGTGGTTCGTGCGCGAGTTGCGCGATCTGGCGCTTCGCGCGAAGGCCGCCCTCGACGCCGTGGTACCGATGGCGGATCTGACGCCTGACGAGCGGGAGATATTCGCGAGCGCGTCGAGACGGTCGCTGTTACGCGTGCGAGAGACGACGCCGTTCGAGGCCGACGACGCTCGCGTGCGCGATCACTATCATTTGGCCGGCCGTTTCAGAGGTCCGGCGCATTCCGCGTGTAATTTGAATTACAAGGACTCCTACGTCAAACCTGTATTCTTTCACAATCTATCGGGTTACGACGCGCACTTCATTATCAAGGATGTGGCTAATCCGCGTATCCCGGCAGCGTAGAGTTGTTGCCGATGACGAAGGAATCGTACATAGCTTTCTCAAAGACCGTTCGTGATACCGCGGCGGAGGGAAATAGGGGAAACGCCGCGCGTTCCAGATACGTCAAATTACGATTCGTGGACTCGTTCAAGTTTTTAGGCGCCGGTCTCGATAAGCTAGCGTCGTATCTCGACGAGAGCAAACTGATGATCGCGCGAGGCGAGTTTCGCGACCTCTCGGACGACGACTTTCGGCTTCTCACGCGCAAGGGCGTGTTTCCGTACGAGTACTCTCGACAGAGTCGAGAGATTGCGGGAGACGCGTCTCCCGCCGCGCGAGTCCTTCTACAGTTCTCTGACCGGCGATACCGTATCGGAGAGCGACGACGACGCTCTACGGCACGGCGTAATCGTTGAACTCTCGCCTGTATCTACCGTTGCGCAGCGCGCTATCTTTGTCGATCACTAGAAAACCGTATCGGTATTTCCAACACGCGCGACACAGCGCATGATAATCCTCGTACGACATATCGGTATTCACGTGATCGCTGTGCACGTGTTTCAGATTAGTGCCATCCTGCTTAAAGAGTATCAATAAATTCGCGTTGTCGCGTATCAGATGTTTGGGTATCTTAGCGTACGATTGGCACAGATAGAAGCAATCGACCTTCGCGTGACGCCCCATGGCGAAGTACTTTCTCACGACGTTCTGTTTGTCGCAGGCCACGTCGTCGAACACGAATATCGAGTTCGCTAGGCGGGATGACATCGGTGTTGTTCGAATACGTGAAGTAACCGATATCCCGCATAGGTTTCAACAATTTCTCCAGATATCGATATTTAGGCTGATGCAACGATTTCGAGTAAACGTACACGTTCTCGAATCGCACGCCGTGCGGGCTCTCCAGAAGGCTTATCAGCACGTTCGTTTTACCGCAATTAGAGGGACCGCAGATTACGCTGCGAATCGCGGTCGGTAACAGATTACCGTGTTTTCGCGGTTCTTCGTTCATCGAGCGCGTCTTACCGTCGACGTTGGACACCCTTATCGCGATCGGTTGATGCACGAAACGCATCGTTTTTTCTCTCTCTCTCTCCTCTCGCGATTCTTCCTTGTTGTTGCGTGCGAATCTGCATCTCAGTGCGCAGACTCGCGCGCGCGCGAGCAACGAGCGCGGATTCGCTCTCGCGAGCGTATATATAGAGGGAAAAAAAACGATCGCGCAATTAGGCGTGTCCGATCGACGGTGACGCGATAAAGTTACGCGCGCGCACGCGCGACGCTTTGTCATGTTTATTCTATTGGTGAACAATTCCGATATTCTCGGACTCAGCGTCGATCAGTTGCAGTACGTTCCGAAGAAGCTTCTGCTGGACAAGTACGGCGATTTCGTCGATCGATTGTGGGAAAGATTGCCTATACATCTGAAGGACGATCCGGATGTGCAGCGTTATCGTCTCTGTCACAAGCATCACAATCAGCCATGGCAAGACACGCACATCGACGATCCGCCGCCGTGCATCAAAGACTGTGGTATGTGCCGGGAGAACGAAATGGCGTGACTATGAGCGCGTCGACGATCGAGACGTATGAGATACGCCGAGGACGCCGCGACGGCAGTCGTCGGCGGTAGCGGTTTGCTCAATAGAACTATAAACGCTCTTCCGTTCGAACTACATATACCGGGATATCAGTTCTGCGGTCCCGGTACTCGTCTCGCGAAGCGGCTCGCGCGAGGCGATCGAGGCGTCAATCCGCTGGACGCGGCTTGCCGCGAGCACGACATCGCCTATTCGCGGAGCGACGATCTCGCCGATCGGCACGTCGCGGATCGGACGCTCCGAGCGAGAACGTTCGAGCGTATCCGGGCCGGGGATTCGACTCTCGGCGAGAGAGTGGCGGCGTCGGCCGTATGGGCGGCTATGAAGGCTAAGACGAAACTAGGAATGGGTATGGCTGGAGCGCGAAGAGGAAAGAGAGAAAGAGCGGCAACGGCGGCGGTAAGAGAAGAACGACCTCGACGAGGAGGAAGAGGACGACGAGAAGACAGGTTCTTCCCGCGGCGAAACGCGGCGGCTTCCTGTTGCCGGCGCTCGGAGCTTTAGGATCACTGATCGGCGGAGCAGCCGGCGTGGCGAAGATGGTGAACGACGGTAAGGCCGCGCGTCGACAATTGGAGGAGCTGCAGCGACACAATCGAGCGATGGAGGGCCGCTGTTTGTATCTCGCGCCTTACAAGCGCAGCGGAAGCATCGCGAGACGAGGCGGACGAACGGTTAGAAGGGGGAAGAAAAAAAAAAGTCGCGCCTCCGAGCGCGTTAGACGACGTCGTAGTTCCGATCGGTGTCACGACGAACGAACAGTTGAATAACGCTGCCAGATGCGCTCGCGTGCGTCACTTCAGAGGTGTGTTCATGCGCGACGCGTTGCCGGCGCGAGTTCGTCGCGACGAGAGTAGAATCGTGAACCTGACGACGCCTTGGGGCCGGGCACGCATTGGGTGGCGTACGCTAAAAGGGGAAAAGACGCTATCTACTTCGACGCTTTCGGCAATCTTCGGCCGCCTCGAGAACTCGCGCGTTACCTCGGACGCGACACGCGCATCGCGTACAATCGCGACTCTCAGCAGACGTACGATCAGAGCGTCTGCGGACAATTGTGCCTGCGCTTCCTTCGACGAGTCGATTGGGGAGAAGGAAGGAGGAAGCCCTTCGGTCTCTAACGGCGATAGAGCGCGTCGTCATGTCGCTGATTCTCACGCTGACCGGAAGAAGCAACGTTCTCACGGCGAGTTACTTTCCGCCTCTCGATCTGAGCGACGACAATTACGAGCTCGGCCTAACCAATTTCGAGACTTACAACACGATTCCGAACGTGAATTCCTCGAACAATAAATTTTACTTCGATGACAACGACGAGACGATCGCGATCCCGATCGGATCCTATGAGCTGCGCGATATAAGCGCGTACCTGAGAGTCGCGATTCTTCGAAGACGGCGACGACCGCCGAACCGGAGGGAGAGACGGCGGCGATGGCGCCAGCGACGGCGACGACGACGACGAATATCTGTACGACGTCGAGGACGCGGAGAACGAGAGCGGCGATCGCGTTCTCCAGCTACGCGGTAACGACAATATCATGAGAAGTGAAATCAAATGCGCGTACCGAATTAATTTCACCAAACCGAACAATATCGGATCGTTATTAGGTTTCTCCCAGTCTCGTGTATTGCGGCCGAACAAATGGTACGCGTCCGACGAGCCCGTGAGCATTATCGCGGTTAACACGATTCGCGTGGAGTGCAACCTGACGACGGGCGCGTACGTGAACGGGAGATCCGCCCACGATACACGAATTCGCGCCGAACGTTCCGCCGGGATATAAAGTGTCAGAGATCCCGAGACAGATCATTTATCTGCCGGACATCGCGCGACTCGTGACCGACGTATCGCTGCGTGTCGTCGATCAGGACGGTCGATTGATCGATTTCCGCGGCGAGGAGATCTCGATTCGACTGCACGTGCGACGCAGACGATAGAGAGCGCGCGGCGAGATGCGAGGACCGGGGAGGGAACGGAGCGATGCTCGTCGTGCGCGAATCTAGCGTCGCGACGTTGCGACCGCGATCGCGTCGCGGGAACTCGAGTCGCGCGCTCGAGAGAGAGGAGCGTCGGGGGATTGTCCGCCAACGTCGCTTTTCTGCGATCCATGGGTTTCGTCGTACCGAGAGCCGCGCGATAGTCCAACATGAGGGACATTCTAAGCATCGGCGGGGAACCCGTCTTCGACGATCGCATCGTGAAGATCGAGAGTCACACGTACAATCCGTACGCCAACACCGCTTTCGGATACAGCGACGAGATACGAATACCCATACAACAGGACCTATACACGCTGCCGTGCGAGAGTTTTCTCTACGTCGAAGGTAGACTGCATACGAAGAATAATCCGCCGCCCGCGTCGAGCGGCGAATCGGGTAAGCCTGCTTCAGCCTCTAAGGAGCCGTCCGTGCCCTCGACGCCGGCGTGGCTCGTGAACAATTGCGTCGCCTTTATGTTCGAGGAGATACGTTATGAGCTCGATGGCGTGGAGATCGATCGTAATCGCAACGTCGGAATAACTAGCACGATCAAAAACTACGCCTCGCTGACGGCCGAACGAGACAAGATCTTAAAGAACGCCGGATGGGATCTCGCGACTGGATCGACCGGCGTCGCGTCGACGGGCGACTTCAACTTCTGCGTTCCTCTCGACACGCTGCTAGGTTTCTGCGAGGATTACAGGCGCGTCGTCATCAACGCGCGTCACGAGCTGATTCTGATAAGAGCGCGAAACGACAACAATTGTCTGATATCGCTAGGAATTCGAGCCGAGAGTCGAGCTCGCGAAGATACGGTGGCGCGTGCCGCAAGTGATGCTGAATGACGTCAATAAATTATCGCTGTTGCGCACGTTGGACAGCGGCAGATATCTGAGCGTGCCCTTTCGCTCGTGGGATCTCTACGAGTTTCCGCTCCTGCAGAGCACGACCAAACACTCGTGGGCCATAAAAGCGGTCACGCAACTCGAGAAATCGCGTTATGTCATCTTCGCGTTGCACCGGAAGGAAGAATGTCCTGTCGCAGGACGCTTCCAGATTCGACGCGTGCAATCTGACCAACGTAAAGTTGTATCTCAATTCCGACTTCTAGCCGTACGACGATATGAATTTAGACTTCGATAAGAACAAGATCGCCGTACTGTACGACGCCTACGCGAGATTTCGACGAACGTATTACGGATCCGCGAACGACGAGACGCTTCTGACTATGAACAAATTTCTACACTGCGGCCCGCTCGTGGTGATAGATTGTTTCCTCCAAAACGAAGCGGTTAAGAGCGCCACTGTGGACGTTCGTCTAGAATTCGACTGCAAGGACAACGTTCCTTCTAACACCACGGCGTACTGCCTAATTATTCACGATCGCGTGGTGGAGTACAATCCGCTGACGAACGTCGTGCGTAAGATCCTGTAAGACGTCGCGTCGAACGGGAGGAGAGAGAGGAAACTCGAAACCGCGAAGATATCGGGGAGAGACGCGCGGATCAACTTCAGTCTCTCGCGACGATGACCGCGACGACGGTCACGGGCGATATCGCCCCGCCGATCTTCGTCGATCTGCAGGGCTTCGTCGTCAACGAGCGATTCGACGAAGGAGATGGCGATACTCGCGAACGGCAGAGATCTGACGCATCACGTCTTTCGCGCGCCGATGTCGTGGAATCTGCTGACAAAGAGCGAGAAGTCGCAGGCCTGTTGGCTGACTCTTAATCACCACGAATTTCACTGGACCGACGAACACGTGGAGTATAGGCACGCGAAGCAGATCGCTCGCGACGCGATATATCGCGCGTCGAGGGATCTCGTGTCGAACGCCGCGGTGACGATCTACGTCAAGGGTCGCGAGAAGAAGAAGTGGCTGGCTGACATCGCAGGAGAGATCGCGGAGCAGCTCGACCTGACGATCGAGACCATCGACGCCGATTACGAGGATATCGGACCCCTTCGAACGCTAGCCGCGACTCGCGTCTATCGCTGCGGCTATCACTCGAAGAATTGCGCCTTGGAAAACGTGTGCAAACTGCACAACTGGTGGTTGGAGAGACGCGATCAATTGCGCGACATGTGAACAGAGACGCGTCATGCGTTTTCCGCATCGTAGATTAGTATCGCGCGTACTCTTATCGACGACTTATCGCCTACCTAAAAAAGTATTATTAATACTGCGACGTTTTTCTCCTTCTTTATTCTAATTTTAATCGGATAGAACGCCGTCAAACACAGGATGAATGTAAGATTTCCGCGCTCGGACGAACGGGGATGAAGGGTGCTCGCGCGGGCCGCGGCGGAGCGGAGGCAGTTCGATATCTCGATCGGTTGGGCGCCAGATGCGGTCTTTCACGCATCAGTTTTCCACGAAATTTTTAAACAGTGCGAAAGATGATAGCCTGCTTCGCCACGGGCTGACTAGCTGACTAGCTCGTGCCAACGGTAGAGGGGAGAGGTTCTTAGAGCGAGCCAATTAATTATGCGGAGATTTCATTAATTCGATGTGCGAGAGACACAGAAACGGATATCGACGACCACAGGGGTCTAACATTCAAATAAATTACGCGAATTTAACAAGGCAATATAACAGATTTATTAATAGAAAAATAATAAATGAGAGAAAAATATAAAAGTCAAATCGAATGACAAATCAGATTGAAACGAGGTTCACAATACTTCGATTAAAGACAAGCCAATGAAATATAAAATCCAATCAAACATAACATAACATGAATGATGAGACGTGATTCACAGCAAATGTTCGCTTGAGATAACTAATCGAAAAGAAAGCTAAGACTTTATAATAACGGCAAACAGAGTCAAATACGCAAGGCTTTATAATTACGGTAAACAGACTCGAATGCGCGAAACTTTATTATTACGGAGAATAGCGAGAAGCGCACCGAACATTATAATTACTGAGAACCGAAAGAAGTGCGCGAGCTCTTGCAATTACGGAGAACGGAAAAAAGCGCGCGAGCGCTTACGATTTCGGAGAACCGAACGAGGCGTGCTATTACGAGTACGAAAAACAGAAAGAAATACGAGATCTTAGAATTATCGAAAACGGAGATGAACACTCAATACTTTATATTAATTGCAGTAACAGAAACAATTTTTTAAACAGGACACCCTATATGCTTTTACATATTCTTATAGTTCATCTCGAGAGCTTTCCAAAACACTATAATTAAGTTAGTTTTCATTAAGTAGTTTTCGAGTTATGAGGCTTGAAATCATTTCTTAATTTTACATAAATCGTAAAATATCTAGTAAAATATTCATTTTTTGTTTAACTTATCTTAATACTTTTGTGTACAAAATAATAAGAGGAATCAATTGGGGTGTAAAAAAAACATATAACTGTTCCGAGGAAAAAAATATGTAATTTGCAATTAACAATTCCATATTTTTTCTTAAACAACTGTATGTTTTCTGTACACCATTTGATTCTGCTTATTATTTTGTACGTAAAAGTATTAAGATAAAAGTATTAAGTATAAAAGTATTAAGATAAGATAATCGAAAAATGAATATTTTACTAAATATTTTACGACTTATGTAAAATTAAGAAATGATTTCAAGTCTCATAACTCGAAAACTACTTAATGAAAATTAACTTAATTATAGTATTTCGGAAAGCTCTCGAGATGAACTAAAAAAATATGCAAAAGCATATAGGAAGTCCCATTTAAAAAGTTGGATGTAATCTTCACGTAACCTTCAGGTGACTTTTCAATGCCAAACCAATGACACCATCTTATGTTCCCCTTCAAGCCATACAACTTTTGTTTGAAACATTTTTTTGTAGCTGATGTAGTTTAGGAGAAATTTGGATCCATCGATTAAAATGAGACACCCTGTATATAATAGTCTTAACATCACGGAGCGCCGCTGGCGCAATCTTATGTCGAATGCGGCAAACGTACAACTTTTTACGCTTGCGCATTGGGGACTTGGGCGACGATGACCAAGGAGACGTTTCTTAATGAAAATTTTTCATATTTCGACTTTGGATCATAATATTGCTGTTCACGATGCACGTAGAGCAAAAATAAAGACACTTTTCTGATATAAATCAACCTCAAGCTATTCATTAAGCCTAATAAGAACTCGATCCGTTCAGCGATTATTTCAATATGATAATCTCGAACATCTCCAACTATCCGACTCGCGTAATGATACACGGCGCGTCTTGTTGCTTACGCGGGACTTAGCACAAGACACTACCGTGTCTCTTGATAACGCCAAGACGATGTAACCTAGAAAGAACGGCAATATCTAGTTGATCGGAACGCGGAATTCGCGTATTGCAACGATAAGGCGTTCCCGCCGGTGCACACACGGCACGGCGGGTGTCGACAGCTTACGCCTCTGACAGCCGATTGTTCGCACGTCCGCGGTCAGCGGACTGCGAGTCGCAAGAAAAAGAGAACGCACGTAGAGAGAGATAGTCGAGAATCGTGGCCCCCTTAAGTCGTATAACTTCCGGTCCGCTGTCACAATTTCCAAGGTACTCACCAATTTGCCGCTCAAGCTGTCGCGGAACTTTTCCCCTGGGGTGGCGGTCGACAGCACTTACAATCGGTCGGAGTTGTTCCACTCCGACCGGCGATAACCTCGTTTTAAAAATTCTACACTACGCGCGCGTCACACGGATACGGAGAGGCGAACGAGTATATCGGGTGAGACCGATCGACGGATCACTGTCGCCCCTTGACTACGGTCGCACTCGACTTCTTTTCACTACCGCGAAATTTACGCAAACAAAACACTAATCGCGACCGGCCAGGGGTGCGTTCGGATTCCCCACCTGAGTGCTCCCAGACACCCAAAAACCGTTCGGATTCCTTCCGAACCTTTCCAGAAGTAACTAGCAGTAGCGTTCGGATTCCCACTAGAGAGCACTTGGAAGAACTTCTAACTCACCCGGCTCCGAGAGCCGGGTGGTTGGGTGAGAGAGACTAAAGAGCGCTAAATTCTACTATTTTACCTAACGTAAAACAAAGTTTTTAATATGGATTTTAACAATATAAAATTATGTACAAATGAAGCCGGAGAAGTTATTGTGCAAGATGGTAGATTGATGGCGTTTGATCTCAAAGGTAATAAATATTGCTAAATATATTTTGTGTGTAATAATTATATACTAATTAAGGTTATGGCAGAAGCCAGCATCACTATTATTTGTATTTTACGAAATATGGCTGAGCGGGCGTTGTGTGTCCGCCTTAATGCGTGTTCTTTAATTCGGCAGGAGAAGTGTGATGCCGCAGGAGAGTGATAGGGACGCTTCTGATTGACGACAGTAATCAAAGTTTCACTAAGTATATTTACAGTTTGTACATAGGCCCTGAAAAGGACCGTTGGTATTTCAGAGTTTATTGGTGGCTCTGAAAAGGGCCGTTTGTCTCTACAGGCGCTCCCTGTAGGAAATGCTAGGTAGGGCCTTGGTGTAGCGCAAGATGTGCCTCGGACGGTCGGTGTTCGCGTCCGCTTTCTTCCCAGGACGGTTGTTGTTCTCGTCCACCTCTGCAGCTGGCTCGGTCTGCGTGGCTGCCGTCTGCGTGGTGGATTCCCAGTCCGAGTCCGACTGTGTTCCCTGCTCCGCAGTTGCAGGCGGCTGGAAACTGGCCTGGGTCGCTCGGTGCACTCGGCTCGTTGCTGTTGTTTGCGTAGCTCTGGTTGACCTGCCAGGTGGTGAAGGCGGCAGCGGCGAGAGAGCTCCCGGGATCGCCCAAGGTCCGGTAGGCGAGGTGTAACGCCGGATGCGGACGTCCCAGATTTCCAACAGGTGACGAGGCGGCCTGGTGTATCTGGGTGGCTCCAGGTCTATCCGTGCCAGCTTCCAGGGCAGGAGCTCGAAGGACACTCGCTTCGCTGGTTCGGAGCCTCCGTGTATCTGCTGTCGGATCGGCCCTGGTGATCGGGGCGTCGACGTCGGCCGAGGTATGCGGCTCCGCTGGTGCAGAATTGCGAGATCCGCCGGTTATGGGGAGTTCCAAAAAACTCCAAAAGAGTACTCGAGCTGGTTAACGTACAGTGTTATTGACCCTGTAGTTGCTTTACTGAGACTCGATTTCGGCCTTCCGCGGTCGGCCTTATATACGGGCGCTGCCGGATCTCACTTGCGCGAAGATCGGCGCCTGTATGCCCGGGCTGCCGCGCGCTAGTTTGCGCGCCTAGGTTGCCGTGCGTTCAGGCGCTCGGCGCTATGCGCCGGTGTGCCTGTGTGGCGTATGGCAGAACGCCACAGGACCCCCCTGGTTGTGGTAAAGCTGGTCCTAATTGACTGTAAATCGTACTGGTTGTCGTACTGTTCGTCCTGCTCTCGTATGCTTGGATGTAGCCTCTGGGTTGGTCTTCGACACCTCGCGGGTTGGCGTTTCATCATCCAAGATGTAGGCTGGCTTTAGTCTGTCAAGT